ATTCTTAACGTTAAGGGTAGAAATGATTAAGTAAGAATAAACTTACAAATTGAAACAAGAAATGACAGGAGAAAACTCAAAACAAAATCACAACATTAATCACAAATTTCAATCTCTCTCTAGCATAGTGCTCAATAGTGGGCAAAAGAGAGAAATGCGCTGGAGGAACACAAGGGCCCACAAAACCGATACCAAATTGTTCAATTGTTCCCCTATTAGAATGCATTGGAAAGTGGCCAAAATCCAACGTCTGTCCAACGTTGGACATTGACGCCGGTCTGATGTTGGGTTCTGACCTCAAACCGAGTTTGTTTCCATCCAAAATGCAACATTCCATGAGGTTGGGGTACAACGACATCACAACGACAACACATCATGTTGACGTCCCGTGCCTGCTGGGACCCTGGAGCATTCACTCACCTCATTCAGTCCCAAGGTGGTGCCAAATAGTCAAATCAGCAAAGCTGGTGTCATAAATAAAAGTACAACAATGAGCGCCAAATATGAATGCCTCTACAACTCGAAAGTATTGCAACTCTGGCTAAAAGAAAAAGGTATGAATTAACAACGACTAAAAAGCAAAAGCTGAATCCCAGACATTTGAGGAGTTTTAGAAATTGTGTCCAGGCTCATTTTCAAAGTGCCAAAAAGAGGACATATAGTCACTCTATTATAGTAAAACATGCCATTTTCCCGGAAAAAAAAAAAATTCATTTTCTTTTCGGCTTAGTCCCTTTATTAATCAGGCGACGCCACAGCGGAATGAACGGCCAACTTATACAGCATGTTTTGCGCAGCGGATGCCCTTCCAGCCACAACCCAACACTGAAAAACACCCACACACTCTTGCACGCACTCACATACACTACGGCCAACTTAGCTTATTTAACCCAGAAGAAACCCATGCAAACACGGGGAGAACATGCAAACTCCACACAGAAATGCCAACTGACCCAGCCGAGGCTCGAACCAGCGACCTTCTTGTTGTGAGGCGATTGTGCTACCCACTGTGCTTCCTCCTTTATTTATCCACTTTCATTAAAGTGGAAACCAATTTACAACATAATGTAAATACTCGACTGACTGCTTCACTTCCACTTAAAGTCTCCTCTGAAGGGCGATGCTCACTGACAGTATAGAGTTCCCTTCACTATACTGGGGCACTGGGACCCGCATAAAACACAGGTTGATTATCCCGGTTAAGTGCTCACTAGCAGATTTAGACAAATGTGTGAGCAATATTTGAGAAAACATTGAGAAAATGCATCTTATTACCTGGTGTGACACCCTAATACCGATTAACTTTAACCCTACCCTCTCTAAACACATAATATACACATGCGTGACGTAATCGTTTTTAAAGACACTCGTTTTCTAAGAGGTTATTAGGACAAGTAAATGGTGGCATTTAAAAAAAAAAAATTCTACTTTGAAACCTGTTTTCAGATCAATGCCCCCCTCACATGTGAACAACACTGAACCGTGGCATACCATGTGTGGAAAAGTGCCTTTATATAAACACAATCCGCTTGTCATACTCCAAAGACGAAGGAAAACTGCATAATACATCCTCCTAATTTGTTATAAATGGTACATTTATCCTAAATAATACAACCCTGATGGAGGGAAATGTTAGATGATTACTTACTGTGATTGCTTTTTCTGTGTGATCGTAGAGAAGATGAATCTGTGAAACTCTTCCCACAAGCAGTGCAGTGATGCGGTTTCTCTCCAGTGTGAATCCTCTCGTGTGTTTTCAGGTTTCCCGACTTACTGAATCTGTTGTCGCAGTGTGAGCACTTGTAAGGTCTCTCTCCAGTGTGAGTTCTCATGTGAAGCTTGAGATTGTGTCTGCGGCTGAAACTCTTTCCACACTGAGTGCAGGTCAAACCGTTCAAGGCTGTTCTTAAAAAACTGTGTTCTGTGTTCGTGCGAGTTTCACTTTCACTTTCGACATGATGTTTCTCCTCATCTTCACTCAGTTCTTCTCTCTCCTCCTTCACCATCACATCTGAAAATTAAGTGAGTTACATTTTAGGGGGCTGTTTATGACTTCACAGAGTAGGTGGCATTGAAAGGCTTAAAAGCACAAACTGTTTCTTGATTCTAAGACTTTATTTGCATGCAACTGACAAATCGTCGCAGGCAAATTAGATTTTAGTGACAGGGCAGCGCTGGCCCAATCAGGCCATTAACAATCTTGTCTACTGTCCCAAGTGTGTCTCTGGCTGGACCCGGGCCATCAGGCAATCCTTATTGGTGAGCCCTTTGTGGCCCTCTAGGAACTGGATTTGACACCTGAGCTCAACTAGTTGCTTTCGTTTTTTTACTGGCTCTTAAACAGATACACTCAACCGGTTAAATATGTGTTATCAAATCTATGATTATACCAAATAATACAACCTTGATGAGCTGAAATGTTAGACGATCTACTTACTGTGATTGTGTTTTCTGTGCGATCGTAGAGAAGTTGAATTTGTGAAATTCTTTCCACAATCAGTGCAGTGATACGGTTTCTCGCCAGTGTGAATCCTCTCGTGTGTTTTCAGGTTTCCTGAATCACTGAATCTCTTGTCGCAGTGTGAGCACTTGTAAGGTTTCTCTCCAGTGTGGATCCTCATGTGAATCTTGAGACTGCATTTGCGCAAGAAACTCTTTCCACATAAACTGCAGGTGAAACATTTAACGGCTGTTCTGTCCATTGAAAAATTTTTAGTATTTGAGTGAGTTTCACTTTCACTTTTGACATGATGTTTCTCCTCGTCTTCACTCAGTTCTTCACTTTCCTCCTTCACAATCACTTCTGAAAATTAAGTAGATAAGTTATATTTTAAGAGGCAAGTTTTTAACCACACAGCAAAATGCTAATAAATAAAAATGGCTATTTTTGCACCTTCACTAGGCATGGGCAGGTATAAGATTCTAACGGTAGGATAACCTTGGATAAAAATATCACGGTTTGATGGGATTGTGATTAATGCTGTAAAATGTATTCTTTTTAAAAGTCTGGGTAAAAAAAAATAAAACTTTTTCCCCTTTGAAAACTATATATTTTATTTTAAAAACATTTCCAAAATTTGTAACAGTAAACATGTTACTGTTAAATATTTTAGTTACACTAAATAATTGAACTAAATCATTGACTGTCTTCATTAGTTTAAAAAACACAGATTTCTTTACAATTTAAAACTGTAGTTTTGATTATCTTTTCTGCGTAAAATAACGTAAATAAAGTTTTTTTTACACATATCTTAGGAACGGTATAGCAAAAATTTTAGGTGATTTTAAAACCTTGACTTTTCCAAAGCGCAGTATACCTTAAAAACGGTTATCGCCCCCATGCCTAAACTTCATTATACATTTTTAAAACAATCTTAAAAACTGGTCTATTCAATCTGGCGTATTAATATACTCATTTTATAGTCTTGATTATTACTTTGCTTCTGAATATTTATCCTTTTCTATCTGGTTATTATTTCTATGCTTTTTTATTATTTACATTTACATTTAGCAGACGCTTATAATATATGTAGTTTGTTTTTATGTATAGTGTTTGTGGCTGTTTAAAGTGCTTTATAGAACCTCACCATTGTTCAGCCTCATTATTGAAGAGTAATGAATAAACACAAACCTATTAGTCCTTCAGTCTCTTCCTGTTTAATTCTGCAGGGTTCTGGATCACTCATCTTCTCACTGTCCTTCAATAAACTCTGTCTTTGTCTTTCACTGATGGCGGCAGAGCTTCAGGAGAACAAACAGAGAAATCTGATACATTTACACTGATTTAAATAAAACCTATGTTATATCTTGTAATAGATACAAAATGTGATTATGTTGGTGGTTGAAGCAGACAGAATCGCTACTGGCCTGATCGAGCCAGTGGTGCCTTGTCACTAAATTTTAATTTGCCTGCGACTATTTGTCAATTTGCTTGCAAATACTGTCTCGAATCGAAAAACAGTTTGTACTTTTAAGCTTTTGAATCCTACCTTAACTGTGAAGTCATAAACACCATCCGTAACATAACCCCCCCCCACCCCCAAAAAAAAACAGGACAACGAAGAGACGCCAACATCAAATTATGAGGCTAAAAGAAAATGTCTAACATAGTTGAAACAGAAATTTACGTGGGTAAAACAGAATGAAAACAATGAAGTGATGTTTTGCACATTTTGTCATCAGTTCGACCACCTGCACAAATTCAATACTTCTATATTGTTTTCTGCCACATTATTTAAAATATGTGGCTATGAAAAAGCTATTAACTTCTTTATTTTTATTAATTTTATTCTTTGTGGGGAACCAGTGACAATTTTAGTAGGGCATGTAAAAATGACAGTGGTCCAATCGGGCCAGTAGAAAAAAATCCTTAGCGTTGAAACCTGTATAGTTTAAATATATAGTAGATTGTTATAGTAAATTATAGTAGATTGTTAGCAGTAGCATGTCTGTGTACAAAAACTGGGATATCATAAAAAACCTTTAAACACCAAACACTTCTAATAAAATATATAACCAGCATTTCTCTTTACAGATGATAATGTGTGTGATAATAATAACACAAACGTTGAAAAACCTCATACACAAACACATTCACTCATATTGTCCTCTCAGAGCTCCTCTCCGCCAGCTGTATTGTTTTGGTCAGCAGACACACAGATAGAGGTGAACTCCATGCAGAAACTAGTCGCAGATTGTCGCTTTAATAAACTGTAAAGTGTGTTTTATTGTTGTGTAAACACGAGAAAAAGCGTCAACGACTCACCTCAGCTCTGAAGACTCGACGCTGAATGAACGCGTCAGCGCTGACGTCACCACGTCGAGGCGGGAGCAACGGCGGATCGTCAGAAACGCGCCAAATTAAATGTGTGAGGTGAAAAAAAAATGTTCACTATGCACCATTTTTTAAAACACTCATAAATAGCAAGTCTAAATAACAAACATACTTCACGCCAGACTGGACAGCTAGAGTAGAGCAGAAGCAGGAGATGAAGTCATGATGATGAAGTAAGAGCAGAGTTTATTTAATAATCTTAGTTGCGTATGATTAAATGCTCCAGGACAAACCCAACAAGTGTTATTATACCACAAGCAACAGCAATGGAAAATTAATGCTTCACCACATCGTCCAGAGACAATACAGACCTTGAAACGGAGACATTCTCTTATCTCTTACTCATGAAATTGAGTGTCGCTTGAGACCACACAGTCATACGATTACAACAAAATGGAAAAAGGAGATGGTAATAAAGCAATAATTATAAAAAAATGTCATAATAAAATATAAAAACATAATAAAATTAAAAAAAAAAAACATCAAATTATTAACCAATCATTAGGGCCAGACAGAATCTGTGGACATTTTTTGCTTTTTCTGCTGAGAATTTAATCAAAATCTGTGGATTTATGCAGAATTATTTTTGGAGTATCAAAACTAAAAACTTTATTTATGAAAAAATAATACCTTCTTAACTTTTTGGGATCGAGACTTTTATGCTTACAATGCAAATGCATCTAGATCAGGGGTGTCCAAACTCATTCCAGGAGGGCCAGTTTCCTGCATATTTAAGTTCCAACACCAATTAAACACACCTGAACTAGCTAATCAAGCTCTTACTAGGTATGATAAAAACTTTCAGGGAGGTGTGTTAAAGGGCCATGAAACCCCCTCGTTTCAGCAGGGTGTTTTCACACCTCTACTTTGGAAAAAGTCAGAAAAGTGGGCGTGTCCAGCTCTGTTTAGGGGGGAGTGTCGGAGGAACTAAAGTGGGATGGTGTGGGAGTGTCTATTTGGGCACGCGCAAGTCAAAACACACACACAAACACACACACAAACACGGGAAAAAGTGATGGTGTTTACATGGACATCTGTAATCGAATTATTTGCCAAATTATTAAATGGTGGACTTTAACTGCAGTTTGGCTCTTTCATTCAGGGAATTCATTCATGCCCCTCGCGACAAACGAGATATTTGATTCGAGGAACTGCTCTAAGCGTGTATTTTTCATGCAATGTTTGATACCGCACGGCGAATCAGAGAAAAAAAAAACTCTCTCAGGTAAACAATAATCCTCCTTAGACACGCAAGTTACTGTTGTCGAGCGTCGCGTACACTGTTAATCCACGTGACTCCAGCTGCGCTCTCACAGAGAGAAAATGAAAACAAAACTTCACTGCAGCAAACTATAAAAGCAACACTTCACGCTTGTTTTGCCAACACAACGTGGCGTCTCTGTCGTCTAAACACTGTGACAGTAATGAATATTAATGAAGTTGCACAATAGAGCGCGCTGATTGGTTTGAATCAAGCCTTACTCATGCATTAATGCATCACACTGTAAGACGTAATAAGACACACTCTGGCACAGACGTCCAGTCTGCACGCTGGAATACACGCTATTATGTCATGACCGTGACGCAGCTTCAAAAATTCGTTTCAAATCGGAAGTACGAATTTGCTTGAAATAACGCAAAAACAACCAATTTACACTTTTTAGTGAAATATAGGTGTCCTAATAGTGTTTTTAGCAGTGTGGGACACATATACGACAGTCAACAGCTCAAAACATGTGTTTTGGTGTTTCGTGACGCTTTAAAGGAAGTTGGAGCTAAACTATGCAGGACACCGGCCCTCCAGGACCGAGTTTGCACACCCGTGATCTAGATCCACTTATTTGGTTAACAAAGCAAGTCTCTCATATAATATATCTACTAAAAGACTACTGTATTGTAAATAAATCAAATAACCTTTTTCATATTAGTCAATATTATTACTCAAATTAATTCAAAAACTGAATAAATATAAATTTACACAAGTAAACAATTGACTTGATTATCGGCTAAAAATCTGCGGATTTCTGCATGCGCAGATTCCGTGTGGACCTACAAATAATCAATAAAATATGATAATTATATAAATGACTAATAATCATATGATTAAAATAAATAATAAATAAATATAAACAAATTAAAATTGTTACGAATGGTTGTTTTCTTGAAGCAACACACATAGGTTTGCTATAAGGACTCTCAGATCCTTAATTAGATTCTTCAGTATGACTCTGTGAAGTGTGGATCCTCAAGTGTTTAGAAAAGTTTGATGACTGCCTGAAACTCTTCCCACACTGAGTACATGTGTACGGTCTCTCTCCAGTGTGAATCCTCTCGTGTGCTTTCAGTGTTGGTATCTGATTGAACGTCTTGTCGCAGTGTGAACACTTGTACGGTTTCTCTCCAGTGTGGATCATCATGTGCTGTTTAAACGAGTGAGCTCTAGTAAAAGTCTTCTTACACTCGATGCACACATGCTTCCTCACACTATTGTGCACCTCCTGATGTTTTCTTAAATACGACTGTCGTGTAAAACTCTTTCCACACTCAGAGCATGAATAAAGCTTCTCCTTTGTATGAATTCCGAGATGGTCCTTCAGCAGTGAAGCCACTACAAATGTTCGGCCGCATTGCTCACATCTGTGTGCTTTCTCTCCAGTGTGGATCCTCATGTGCAGCAGAAGATCTGCTTCTATTCTGAAACTCTTCCCACACTCAGGACATGCGTGAGGTCTCTCTCCAGTGTGAACCCTCTCATGTCTTGTCAGGCAATCTAACCGAACAAATCTCTTGTCGCAGTGTGAACACTTGAACGGTTTCTCTCCCGTGTGAATCACCTTGTGTTTTTTCAGAAATTCTATTCGAGTGAATCCCTTGTCGCAGTCTGAACACTTAAAAGGTTTCTCTCCAGTGTGGATCATCTCATGTATTTTTAAACACGACTGACGTGCGAAACCAACTCCACACCAAGAGCATGAATGTTTCTTCTCTTTTCGAACTGTACTAAGATGGACCTTCATGGCTTCACTCATCTCTTCACCTTCCTTCCTCACAGTCAGGTCTGAAAATGTAAAGTATGCAAACAATTAATTATCAATAACCCTTTTATAATCCACACGTCTTCTCGACAGTTGATTGAGCATACACATCATTAAAAGATTAGTTCTGCCATAGCAAAGTCCCTTTAAGGCCAGTCATTTCACACGACGGCCATCTTTGAAATACCTCTTTTGCAGTATGCTCAGGCATTCTGTTTGAAACATTCAATTCTCCATAAAGGCAGGCTTTATTCGGTAAATAGCGATCGACGATTGCCTCCTGTACTAGAAGGCGGGCTTTATTCACCATATGGTGATCGACTATTGGCTCCTGTACTAGAAGGCGGGCTTTATTCGCTACATAGTGATCGACGATTGGCTCCTGTACTAGAAGGCAGGCTTTATTCGCTATATAGTGATCAACGATTGCCTCCTGTACTAGATGGCGGGCTCTATTCACTATATAGCGATCAACGATTGGCTCCTGTACTAGATGGCGGGCTCTATTCACTATATAGCGATCAACGATTGGCTCCTGTACTAGATGGCGGGCTTTATTCGCCATTATCGATCGACGATTGCCTTCTGTACTAGAAGGCGGCCTTTACTCGCTATATAGCAATTGACGATTGCCTCCTGTACTAGAAGGCAGGCTTTATTCGCTATATAGTGATTGACGATTGGCTCCTGTACTAGAAGGGGTGCTTTATTCGCCATATAGCAATCAACGATTGGCTGCTGTACTAGAAGGCGGCCTCTATTTGCTATATAGCGATCGACGAATGGCTCCTATACTAGATGACGGGCTTTATTCGCTATCAAGCAATTGATGATTGGCTCCTGTACTAGATAGCGGGCTTTATTCGCAATATAGCGATCGACGATTGGCTTTTGTACAAGAAGGCGGGCTTTATTCGCCATATAGCTATCAACGATTGGCTCCTGTACTAGAAGGCGGCCTCTATTTGCTATATAGCAATCGACGAATGGCTCCTGTACTAGATGGCGGGCTTTATTCGCTACATAGCAATTGACGATTGGCTCCTGTACTAGATGGTGGGCTTTATTCGCCATATAGCGATCGACGATTGCCTTCTGTACTAGAAGGCGGACTTTGATCGCTATATAGCAATAGGCGATTGCCTCCTGTGCTAGAAGGCTGGCTTGATTCGCCACATAGCAATCGACGACTGGCTCCTGTACTACATAGCGGGCTTTATTCGCCATATAGCGATCAACGATTGGCTCCTGTACTAGATGGCGGGCTCTATTTGCTATATATCGATCAACGATTGGCTCCTGTACTAGATGGAGGGTTCTATTCGCTATATAGCGATCAACGATTGGCTCCTGTACTAGATGGCGTGCTCTATTCGCTATATAGCGATCAACGATTGGCTCCTGTACTAGAAGGCGGGTTTTATTCGCCATATAGCGATCAACGATTGGCTCCTGTACTAGAAGGTGGGCTTTATTCGCCATATAGCTATCAACGATTGCCTTCTGTACTAGAAGGCGGGGTTTATTGGCCATATAGCAATTGACGATTGCCTTCTGTACTAGAAGGCGGGCTTTATTCGCCATATAGCAATCGCCATCATCCCACTTCTCAGCACTTTCCTGTTTGTTTCCTTTTTTTATTTCTGGTTGGGCAGAATGAAAGTGTGCTCACTCAGTTGGCTAGTTATGAAGCCCCGGTCAGATCACACGATTTCGTCAGGTCAGATCACACAATTTCGGCATGATTTCCCTGATGTAGGGTGTCTTAGGAAGTCATGAACGACAAATAGATGTCGTAACAAGATTCCATCATTTCTTCTCGTGTAATGTGGCAAAGTTCATGACAACCAATACCATGTCTGTCATGCCTCATGACAACATTGCAGAAAGTCTAGCATGTTTTATTTTCTGAAGCATAACCGACTGGTTTTAAAGCGCTTCACCTGAGATGTTTTTCGTTATTCTTGTTTACATATACAGTTTACACCACCCTGAATTATTTGTATTAGGTCAAAAATATGACCTGGATCTTTAGAAGATCAACTTACCGTGATATTTTTTTGTGTGTCTTTGTAGATAAGAAAATAGTTTGAAACTATTCCCACAATCAGAGCAGCGGTACGGTTTCTCTCCAGTGTGAGTCCTCTCATGTGTCTTCATGTGTCCTAAATCTGCGAATCTCTTCTCGCAGTGTGAACACTTGTAAGGTTTCTCTCCAGTGTGCGTCCTCTCGTGTGTTTTCAGATGTGCTGAAGTATAGAATCTCTTGTCGCAGTGTGAACACTTGTAAGGTTTCTCTCCAGTGTGGATCATCATGTGAGTCCTCAGATTGTATTTGTCCCGAAAACTCTTTCCACAATGAGTGCAGGTCAAACCTTTTATGGTTGTTGTTTCCATTGACACACCATGTTCGGTTTTTATCCGAGTTTCTTCTTCCTTTTTGACATGATGTTTCTCCTCATCTTCACTCAGTTCTTCATTCTCTACCTTCACCATCACATCTGAAAAGTAAGTGAATAAGTTAGTTGTTATGCTGTGCTCACACCAGATGCGGAAGAAGCATCAAGTGCGAGTGATTTGTATGTTAAGTCAATGCAAACGCGCGAATAGACATCCTGCTGCGCGAATGACGCGAATTGCGCGGTGTGAATTGAACGTTTTGCGCATTTGAACCGCTCGAGTTGAAAAAAATCGGAATCTGGCGTGATTATGATGTAGCGCCTGTTGTTGGTATCCAACAGTTCATCAAGCTGGGCTCGGCTAAGTCAGAAGCACCGCTGAAAGCCTCCATCATCCAGGTTCAGTTTGTGGAGGAGTTTATGAGCTCACAGAACCTCTGAAAAGGATCTAATGGACTCAGACACGGCTCCAAACAAATCAATGCTGTTTTTCAGCCTTTATAAAGCACATAACAGTTATTTTCTCAATAAAATCCATGTTAGCCATTTAGCAACAAAGCTACAGTCACCGGGCAGACAGAAGCCCTGCCCATCACGTGATTCCACGTCTGTTGTGAAGTTAATATATGACGCGCGAATGAAGCAGATTTTGACACTCAAATAAAGCGAGCAAACTCAAATGTTTAAGCGCCCATTTACGAGTGAATATTGCAATTCATCCGCGCATTCCGCGTCTGGTGTGAACACAGCATTAACCATACGGTCATATGCTAATGAATAAGAGTACTTGTGTGTTTGGCTGTTTTTGCACCTCAGATTAAACGTAAACATGAACTCTTGTAATAAAAATTGTATGTTGTGGGGAAAAGGGAATTTATTTTTATTACTTTTTTATGTCCTTATTTTTCTTATTAGAAATAGTGTTTAGACTAATCAATCTTTATCTTGCAGGGCTCGAAATTGCGACCATTTTGGTCGCATATGCGCCCGAAATTTTATCTATGCGACCTCAAAATATATTTGGGAGCATTTCTGCGAGTGCTTAAAATTGTTGTGTGCGACCAGTTTTTACTGCAAAATGTTCACCACATGCGCGGATTCGGGAGACATTCACGCAGAATGCATTTCTCTAAGCTCTTTGTCTGCACTTGAAACGGGAAACGCAGCGCTCAGGAACTTGCTGCAGTAACAAGTCCGTAATGCTTGCCCCGCCTTCGCGCTCTTCTTATTGGCCCACCACTGCTCTAGCACTGAACGCGAATGATTGGTTAATGTCAGCTGTCAATCACTCAGCCAGCACCTTCTTGCTTGGGATGACAGAGAGAGCTACTACCGCGAAAAACTAAAGCGCTAAAGATGAGAATGAAAATGGCACTGACAGATTTTTTTTTAGAAACCATAGCATCTAAAGTTATAAATAATGACACATCTTAGTTGTGATCATGTGCTGAATGTCAGTCCACCATCTACACTTTTCCAAGAGTGGATAAAAGACTCCGTTGGCTTCAAGTCCGCTATTAAAAGTCTGTGAGATGAAGTTTTCAGGTAACAGTTTGCCACATCTAGCACGAGAGCTTCTGTTTAATCCTTCATATAATCGCCAGATGCTGTCCGCTGTGCAAGGGACAGCTATATGTAAAATTTAACATCACGTACACCATCGCAAACGGGCTTACACTGAGTAAACTAACGTCGCTACTCATGAAAAGACAGTATTGCTATTGACATGACGTATGCATATAATAAGGCACAGTATATGTCAAAAGCATCAGTGCAATATCAGACAGCACTTGTGAGAACAGCACAGTTATACCGTTAACCGATTCATTCAAGCAGTGTGTGCAGGGCCGGTGAGCGCTCCGTGTAAGCTTTAGTCACTCAGTCATGTTATAAAATGTATTTCTTGTGATAACGGGATTTCGTTGAGACATATTTTCCTCACGCTTGCATATATATATATATATATATATTTTTTTTTTTGGTTGTTAGTTTAATTAGTGTTGATTTCAAATGCTATAAATATGTTTGTATAAAACTTGTAGTAACGGTGCTCATAATTGGTGGGTGCGACTAAATTTTGGCTGATGCGCCTAACTTTTTAAAGTTAGGAGCACCGGTGCTACCAAGCAAAAAGGTTAATTTCGAGCCCTGTCTTGTGTATGATACTATATCTTAACCAAAAATACTTCTTCTTTCTTACTGTGTTGCATACTTCTTAGAAGAAACTGCTGACAATAGGGAAATCGCAGAATAAGAATAAGCTCCAGACTGCGGTCTAAGAAGTCTAGTCTAGACATGTCACAAGGAGCTGGATGCTTGTAGAAGTTTTGAAATATAGTGAAGAAGCACTTAACTGTTCAGTTCTGGCATGCAGAGAAAGGTTGCAAAAAGAGGAAGTATGTTTGGGTACAACAGCCAAAGGACTGCAGACTGACTGATAAGCGACGTTACACCAAAACTCCACCTGTTAATATCAGTTGTGTATATATATGCAGGAGTCAGGGAAATGTAAGTTAGTTGCGAACCTTTTGAATGTAATTCTTGTATTGCATTAGGGTGATTTAACCCAGAACTCTGTCCTCAAATTATTCATTTGTATCTAATAAATTACTAATGTTTTTGTAGGGCTGTGCAATTAATCGAAAATCCGATTTCGATTATGGCTTCCAAACGATTATGAAAAACCATTAATCGAGATAAACGATTATTCCATTATTTACCGCCCCCTGTCCAGTTGTCCTCACTTGTTGCTCTTAAAAGCGCGAAAGACCGCATGCTTATGTATGTGCGGCGTGCAGACAGTCAGAAGCATGCGGTCTGCACTTGGTCTCATTCGCACATAGTGACGAGCAGAGAGCACACATATATAAAGTCATTAACGCGAGCACTTTAATGTTCAAATAGGTGTCAAAACGCGGTGTTTAGTGATTATTCATATTAACCCTCATTTTGTAATAAACAAACGAGTTGAGAATCAAAAGACACGTGAAAGTGAAACCATTAAAGTGACAGAGCACAGCTGCCGCCTGTTTCATCATGATTAATCAAACAACGAGAAAATCCCTCTTTGCTCTTGACTGAAGACTTTTGTAGTGTTACGATCCTTGATGGCAATTTGTCTAGGGTATTAAAAGGAGTAACACAAAGATGACCAAAGTATAAACTGATGTTGAAGAAAGGCAAAAGAAAACACCAAACAGCAAATTAGCACCGCAAAAGATTTATTGCTCCCACATTATTTACAATATTTACAAACAATAAGATAAATTTGAAAAGAACCAAGACAAATAGGAGAGGGAACTGAAGTTCGCGCATGGAAATCAAAGAAATAAATATAACAAAAACATTCCCTTAATCTCCTCCCCAATCCATTAAATAAGAAAATAACAATATGAAAAGAAAAGTCTTCAGCGCCCTGAACTTACTCTAACTAATAAATAAAAATACAAAATTAGCGCACTTCGCTAACTAGTGTGTCTATACATCAATAATCCTGCGTGCAAATATGCATGTCACGTGACTTACTATGTTGTTCCAGATCTCCCTTGTCAAGTCACAGAAGGTTTTGAATGGAGCATTAGCGGGCTATAGATGTAGAAACACACGTCAGAACTCTCAAACAAATCTCACTCAAAGTCATCAGTTACTCACTCAAAGTCAACATCAATAAATTCCAATCAAAGTACACATCAGTAACAGCGACAACGCACACGGACACCACCAAACAGACAACACGCCAAAACAACAACAGCTGATTTCTCCCCGTTGCCGCTTCCATTTTTAAAGGGCTCTGCAACGAACGCGATTGGCAGAGAGAGAAGTCATCGTCACACGGTTGATTAGGATTGGCAGTCCTGTCAGCCAATAGTGCTCCAAAGTAGGCGGTACCTGAGAAAATGACAGGGCCGGTACAGAGAGAGAGAGAGAGAGAGAGAGAGACAGAAAGAACATACACGCAGCAAAACTGTGCGGTTCGTAACAGTAGCTAAAGTGTTTTTCTTACGGTGAAGATGCTAAAAGCAAAGTTTGTTTCATATTTTTATTCTATTGTATTTATTTCTCTTTCCTTTGCAGGGAGGAAAATAATATATGCAGTTGAAGTCAGAATTATTAGCCGTTCTGAATATTAGCAACCTTTTCCCCCAATGTCTGTTTAATGGAAAGAAGATTTCTGAACATAATAGTTTTAATCATTCATTTCTAACAACCGATTAATTTTATTTTTGCTATGATGACAGCTCATAATATTTTGGTAGGTATTTTTTTAAATACAAACATTCAAATTCAAAGTGTGATTCAAAGGCTTAATTAGGGTAATTAGACAAGTCATTATATAACAGTAGTTTCTTCTGCAGAAAATCAAAAATATATATTTCCTAAAGGGGCTAATATTATTGACCTTAAAAGAGGTTTTTAAAATATTTAAATTTGCTTTTATTCTAGCCAAAACAAAACAAATAAGCCTTTCGGCAGAAGAAAGATATTATAGGAAATACTGTTAAAATTCCTTGCTCTGTTAAACATCATTTGGGAAATATTTATTTAAAAAAAAAATTCTCAGGAGCGCTAATAATTTTGACTTCAACTAATAATCGTTTGGAATAATCGTGATTACAATTATGACCAAAATAATCGTGATTATGATTTTTCCCAAATTCGAGCAGCGCTATGTTTTTGGCATTAAAGAAAACCCTCTCCAGACCTTTTCTTATTGAACATGCATGTAATTGGCAAAATCTTACAACATTGTGTAGAAATTTGGAGGCAAGCTGAATATCATCTGTTATTGAAGAGTAATGAATAAACACAAACCTATTAGTTCTTCAGTCTCTTCCTGTTTAATTGTGCAGGGTTCTGGATCACTCATCTTCTCACTGTCCTTCAATAAACTCTGTATTTGTCTTTCACTGATGGTGGCAGAGCTTCAGGAGGAGAAACAGAGAAATCTGATTCATTTACACTGATTGAGGTTATATCTTTGTGGTGAACAATTGCTTGTCTGAAGTACTGAGCGGGGCTAACTGTTAGCAACTGTATCCTATCTAGACTTGACCAGCTGCAGCTATAAGAACCTGTTAAGTCTAGATAAGACACTCTGCGGATACACACATCACTATAGCATCATTTATGTAACACTGTTTAACAATGATTAATATCTCTACAGTATTATGACAATTGGGTTTATCATGATCTAGCAACAACTGTGTGAACCCTTTTCACATTTCCGGGTTTATCAGTAGCGTACATAGCCCATAGTTGGGTAAGCTTAGAGCACAATGAATGGGAGAGTACAACAAATACATTTTTTTACAATTCTACTAATTGCCGAAATAATAAAAATAGAGCATTTCCAGTGTTATGGACGTGACATTTGCAGTACAAATTGAAACCATTAATTCACAGAGAAATTATATGTTAACATTATATTAAAACTCCTGTTTATATTTAACAGAACGACTAACCGCAAAGTTATGATTGCTAAGTTATGATTGCAAAGTTATGTTTTGTACTTTAAATGAGGGAAATAAACTTGCGTCATGGATGTGACCAAATGAGTATGCAAGTTTGCAGTACACAACATACTTTGTAGAAATTCTGTGGAATAAACTGCACAACTCAGAAGAAACAATGCTAATCAAAAGGATACGAGTTGGCTCTCTATAAACAAACATGATTGATTTTATTTTATATTTTTGCATTTATGAGAAAAAAAAAAGTTTCGTTATGAATGTGACATCTCTGTTAAGGATGTGACCGATGTGAAATTACCACTTGTGTGACTTGGGTAAATCAAATAGATCAAATAGTTTGAAAACATTGACAGAGATATTTTCAAGTATTTCTAAAGTACTAAAAAAACTTGCTTACATAAAAAAAACTTAGAATCAGTTTTCGTATTTTGGTGAAAACTTAATTTTATTCATGGCAAGGTTGACATTTGCATGGAATTACTCATAAAATAAAACACTCATAATAAAAAACACTATGGTGTTATCAAAACATTCAGAGCAAGAACATTTGTTTTTTTTTGCAATTTGATGCAAAAGATGTTACGATAAAACATTCATTTATTTTCTTTTTGTTTTAGTCCCTTAATAATCTGGGGTCACCACAGCGGAATGAACCACCAACTTATCCAGTATAAGTTTTATGCAGCGGATACCCTTCCAGCTGCAACACATCACTGGGAAACAACCTTATGCAAATGCATAAACGTTCATACATTAATTTTTTATTAAATCTTAAAGCTAAAGTTTAAGAATTTATTTAATATGCTGATGACGGTTAATCGCGTCATAACGGTCTTGCAAAAAGGGCAGCTTCCGGTTCTCGCGGACTTTAAACTTTTAATTACAAAAGTTTTCTCTGTCATTGGATGTTTCTGCTGCAGTAGATTCACTATTCAAATACAAAGATCATACTTGAAAATATAACTAACACAAGCATGGAAAAACGTAAACACACCACCAAAACTCAAACACTACGTTAAGCTCATGTTTTCCTCTCAGAGCTCCTCTCTGCCTGCTGTATTGTTTTGGTCAGCAGACACACAGATAGAGGTGAACTCAATGCAGAAACTAGTCGCAGATTGTCGCTTTAATAAACTGTAAAGTGTGTTTTATTGTTGTATAAACACGAGAAAAAGCGTCAACGACTCACCTCAGCTCTGAAGACTCGACGCTGAATGAACGCGTCAGCGTTGACGTCATCACGGCAAGGCGGGATAAATAAATACAATTTACGAGAAAAAAACAATTACTAATGTGAACTAAAATTCATCTAGATCATATATATGAGGTGAAATTGAGCACAAAATGTTTTTAAAAATGCACTGAACATAATTAAAAAGCAAATTAAATACTTCATGGCTGACAGATATATAGTTTCCTTAAGTATAACCAGTAAAAACAGCTAACAAAATGTAAGAATAATAAAAATACATAAAAAAGACAGCTTGAAGCAAATAATTATTATGAAAAACAAACGTATTATGGTTGGTATTTATAGTTAATGACTATATTTAAACAAACTTTAGACTTTCCAGAGAGTAACTTCTCTATCCTTAACAACCTACTGACAAAAACAGCTTAAACCAGCCTAGGATCATTGGCTGGTTTTAGCTGGTCAACCAGGCTGGTTTTAGAGGGGTTTCGGCCATTTCCAGGCTGGTTTCCAACTATTTCCAGCCTGGTCGTAGCTGGTCAGGCTGGGAGATTGCTAACTGAAACCAGCTTGACCAGCCTAGCCAGGCTGGGAGCCCAGCCAAAACCAGCTATGTCCAGCTTAAGCCAGGCTGCTCAAGCTGGTTCTAGATGGTCATTTTCCAGCCTGACCAGGCTGGAAATGGCTGGAAACCAGCTTGGAAGTGGCCAAAACCCCCTCTAAAACCAGGTTGGTCGACCAACTAAAACCAGCCAAACAGCCTAGGCTGGTTTAAGCTGTTTTTTTTCAGCAGGGCTGGTACAGTTTGTACGTTGAACAGCTTAATAAGTTAACATCTTAACAGAAATACAGGTGATGGATATTCATATGAACATTCTACAAATAACTACTGGCGTAATTAGATTTTTCTGGTATCTGAGAGTTCATAACAGAGTAAAATAGCACTAGTCACTGCCATTTTCACCCAGCCGTCCAAATCAGTGGTAGGCTACCTTTACAATGACTAAACAACAAAGGAAAAGGTTAAATTAATGGTGACGGCATTTCTATATTCAATGATCTCCATTCAAAATTAGATACTAGTATTACCTTTCTGTCATGGATTCCGAATCATAGCAACCAAAAATTGTCTGTTGTTAAACGCTGTGCCACTAAACCCTTTCAAGGTTTTTCAGTTGGACATTATTATGAGAGCATCTGAGATTTTGAAGCTGGATTGAAAATTTTATTATTTACAAACCATTGGAATTCATGAATATATACAAATTTATCAGCGGAAGCTGATGTAAGTGAAGACAAATCAGAGTTTTCAGAAATGTTGTTTATCCCTTGTGTGCTGTTGGGGATGATTTTCATCCACCGTGGGGTGATTTTGAGTTTAATTTGTCCACAATTTTCTCTGCGTCTCAGCAAATGGAATGATTTTTGGTGACAAATCTTATTTTGGGACATATTTTGGGAAAATGCTTTGATAAATGCTTTGGCAAATGTACTCTCCTTTCGTTATGTTAGAGGCTGTTTTTGGCCCATTGACTTCCATTATAACTCTAAATCACATTGTTTGGATTGCAAAGCCATGACAGCATCATGCATTCTTGATTGCTGGTGGTTTTCCCTGCAGGGAAGAGATCAAATGTGTAATTTTTGCTGCTGATCATCAATTGCAGTGCAAAATAAATTGTAGCTTCTGGCGTTTACATGGAGTTATGCAGACCTAGAAATGGAGCAATTATCTTATCTCATACTCATAAAAACAAGTATCGCTTGAATCCCCACAGTCACAAGATTATAACAATATTGAAAAAGCAAACAATAATAAAACAATAATTTGTTAACCAAATAGTTTGGCTTGTATATGGAGTTATATAAAATTTACACTCACCGGCCACTTTATTAGGTACACCTGTCCAACTGCTCGTAAACACAAATGTCTAATCAGCCAATCACATGGCAGCACCTCGATGCAGTTCAAAGCGAGCATCAGAATGGGGAAGAAAGGGGATTTAAGTGACTTTAAATGTGGCATGGTTGATGGTGCCAGACTGGCTGTTCTGAGTATTTCAGAAACTGCTGATCTACTAGGATTTTTACGCACAATCATCTCTAGGGTTTACAGAGAATGCTGCGACAAAGAGGAAATATCCAGTGAGCGGCAGTTCTGTGGGCGCAAATGCCTTGTTGATGATGCCAGAGGAGAATGGCCAGACTGGTTCCAGCTGATAGAAAGGCAACAGTAACTCAAATAAGCACTCGTTACAACCGAGCTCTGCAGAAGAGCATCTCTGAACACACAACACGTCCAACCTTGAGGCGGATGGGCTACAGCAGCAGAAGAGCACACCGGGTGCCGCTCCTGTCAGCTAAGAACAGGAAACTGAGGCTACAATTCACACAGGCTCACCAAAACTGGACAATAGAAGATTGGAGAAACGTTGCCTGCTCTGATGAGTCTCCATTTCTGCTGACACATTCGGATGCTCGGGTCAGAATTTGGCATCAACAACATGAAAGCAAGGACCAAAGTACCAATTGTTGCTGACCATGTCCATCCTTTATGGCCACAGTGTATCCATCTTCATAAAGCACGAACCATCTCAGACTGGTATGTACTCCATATAAAAAACAGACCCTTATTTTGCAAAGGCCTATCTTAAGGGTTATTGCTGCCAACTGAAATGTTATTTCTTCCCTACAGGGAAAACCACCAACAATGAAGAATGCATGATTACATACTGTCAAGACTTGTTGTTATGATGGAAGTCAATGGGACAAAAGCAGCCATGAACATAACGAAAGAAGAGTCCATTTGAACAATACACAAGCTGTGGTCACACTGCACTTTTCGCCCCGTTGACGACTTCTGTTCATATGCATGCACATTCACCAGACCAGAATATTTATCATGTCACTGTATTGGAAAGTTCAAGCTTGGTGAATCTGTGAGACCGCTATAAGATCAAAACCTGACCTCTTTGTAGTGCTGCATCTTGCTTTATCTTGCTCCGCCATCCAACCAAATTTCCAAATTAAGCATTTTCATTTGTATGAAGACTAAGATGCTCCCTCAGCTCTGAAGCGCTCAAAAAAGTCTCGCGGCATTGATCACAATTGTGCGTCTTCTCTCCGGTGTGGATCCGGTCATGTAATTTCAGCTGTCCTGACTGGCTGAATCTCTTGTCGCAGTGTGAACACTTGTACGGTTTCTCCCCGGTGTGGATCCTGTGGTGTCGTTTCAAGTCTCCAGCTTTAATAAAAGTCTTCTCGCACGCGAAGCACGCGTATTTTCTCACACTATTATGGATCTTCTGATGTTTTGTTAAAAGTTGTTGATGCGCAAAACTCTTTCCACACTCAAAGCACGAGTACGGCTGCTCGTTTGCATGCACCCTGAGATGCTTCTTCAGCTGCGAATCCTTAAAAAACGTTTTGCAGCACTGAACACACTTGTACGGTCTATCTCCAGTGTGGATCTTCATGTGTTGATGAAGGGAGGACGACTGTCTGAAACTCTTCCGACACCGAGTACATGTGAACGGTTTCTCTCCAGTGTGGATCATCTCGTGTCTCTTCATGTTGTTCAGCAGACTAAATCTCATCTCGCAGTGTGAACACTGGTACGGTTTCTCTCCGGTGTGAGTCATCTCATGTCTTTTCATATTTCCCAAGTAGATGAATCTCTTGTCGCAGTGTGAACACGTGTAGGGTCTCTCTCCAGTGTGAACTCTCTCGTGCTTTCTTAGATTTTGTTGAAGTGTAAAACTCTTTCCACACCATGAGCACGAATTGGGCTTCTTTGCATCAACACTATTGTGGTCCTTCATGGCTTCACTCGATCCTTCACTTGGGTTTTTCTTCCTCTTCACAGTCAGGTCTGAAAATTAAATGAAGCTACATTTTAATTAGGGCTCAGATTTGAATTCAGTACCTTTTAGGGTGCTTTCACACCTACACTTTTGTTTCGGAACGTGTCTCGTTTGCCCAGTTAGCGCGGTTCGTTTGGCATATGTGAACAGGGCAATCGCGCTCTGTTCCGCGCCAAAGTAATCGCTCCGAGATCGCTTGAATGAGGTGGTCTCGGCTCGATTGAAACGAACCCTGGAGCGGTTCGATTGCAGTGAGAAAGCGATACGATCCGAGCGCGGTTATATCACAGTGTTTTATGGATATGTAATAGGCTTATATGAAGAGAGAATTATGAGTATGGCGGGAAGTTTCGCGAGTCTCCGGATGCCCGCAAATGAGTGATGATCTCCCGGTAATCTCAAGTCTCCCTCCCGGTCCTCAAATAGGCATCGTCGCGCACCTTTCCCACCGCATCTCTCCTCAGACACGTCGCGCGTGCACCCTGTCAATCACCACCTCTCCTGACAGCTTAGCAGGACGCTGCAAAATAAACCCTGACACTCTGACCAATGTGAGGAGAGTTTACTCACACGTGACTTCTTTTAGCTCTTTTGGTCCGATTAGAAACTTTGTAGTGTGAAAGCGAACCGCTCCAAGAGCAAAGAGCAACAATGTAACAATTGTAATCTCTGTTTCAGAACAACTGAATCTGTTCACAGGTGTGAAAGCAGCCTTAGATATAAATTATTGACACATTGTTGTGTTAAGGCTCCTACACTCGGGGACGTTTTTAGTTTGCGTTTATCGTCAGCATTTTACGAGACGTTTTTAAGTGTTCAAACCCAAGCGCTTTTCACTGGCATTTTTTTGACGTTAGATGGCGCTACACAACTTTAAGCTTCTGACACCGGCTTATAACACAGAAGAAGAGGAGGAGTGGAAGTTCACACGTTTGTTTATAAAGTTACTGGTGACCCGAACAAGCATGGATGGTTCAAGCAGCAGCTCCAGCTCTAGCGATGAAGAAATGATTATTGTTTACCAGTGCAATAAGCAGCTCCACGTTCATATCGCCTCTGGGCGTCTTCTTCAATGTGCGCTCACATTGACAGTTTTGCGCTTGAGCGCCTCCAAGAGCTGTTTACGGTAACTTCAGCAGCTCCGTGCATGTGAACAAAAGTGGCGATTTGATTGGTGGAGAAGGTTTTGACGCGCGGCGTCAAAACCTTCTCCACCAATCAAATCGGCACTTTTGTTCACATGCAAAAACTTATGCTTTTGCACCTGGCGTTTTGCGTGTTGGTGTGCACAATCACATTGACGCCCTTTATTTAGTTACAAGGCGTTAAACGTTGACGGAAAACGTGAGCAAAAAACACCTTGGTGTGCACCGGCCTTTAGAGATTACCACATTTGAATCTGCTTTTAATCATTTTCATTCGTTGTTGTTCTTTTTGCTTATGCTTGTTTATTTTTAGTCTTGTTCATGTAAAGCACTGTATACAGTTGAAGTCAGAATTATTAGCCCTCCTGAATATTAGCAACCCTTTCCCCCCAATTTCTGTTTAATGGAAAGAAGATTTGTTTGCAACACATTTCTAAACATAACAGATTTAATAACTC